GCCCCAGAACTGGCAAATCACACACACACACACACACACACACACACACACACACAGAGTTCTGAAGAAATCAAGAATAGAAGGAACATACCTGAACTTAATAGAAATGATATATGACAAATATATATCTAATATCAGGTTAAAGGGAAAAACTGAAACTATGTTTCCTAAAGTTAGGAATGAGACTAGGGTTCCACTCTCCCCACTGTAACTCAATAATTGTATTAGGCAGAACAATATGGCAGAATAAAGTTAAAAAAAACAGTTCAGGGAGAGAAGAGACAAATTATGTTCGCAGATGATATGACCCTATATCATTAAAAGTTTTCTAGATCTGATAAATACCTTTAGCAATGTAGCAGTATATAAAACCAGCACTTAAAAACCCAGTAACGTGGGCTGGGAAGGTGGCTCAGTGGTAGAGCACTTGCCTTGCATGCATTAGGCCGTGAGTTCAATTCCTTAGCACCACATAAGCAAAAAAAAAAAAAAAAAAAGCCGGAAGTGGCGCTGCTGTGTCTCAAGTGGTAGAGTGCTAGCCTTGAGCTGAAGAGCTAAGGGACAGCACCCAGGCCCAGAGTTCAGGCCCCACGACTGACAAAATAAATAAATAAATAAAACCAGCAACGTACATGTGTGTGTGTGTGTGTGTGTGTGTGTGTGTGTGTGTGTATGTGTGAATAAGAAACAGGATGAGAAATAAATCAGGAAACAATTCTATACACAATAGCCTCAAAAATAAAATAAGCCCAGAGTTCAAGACCCATGACTGACAAAAAATAAAATACTAACTAGTAAGATTTCCTAATAAGGAAAAGTCCTCTGTATAGATGCTCCTGGATAAGAGTGCACACCTGTGAAGGAGCATGGCTGGCTGAGTCCTTGACTGTAACTCTTCAGAGACTGCAGTGCATGGTCTGTATACCTTGACTGGTGTGGAAAAGACAGATTCTTCCCTGTGGCCTCCCATTTAAAGCCTTTGCAATTGCCTGTCGTCAGGTATGAAAGATGATACAAATGATTTTGTCCCAAAGCTGGTGACCTCACTTGGTTCAACTACCTTAGCCCAGGCTGCCGTCCTCTCTAGCTTCCAGCCTTTAAAAAAATTTTGTTTCAAGCCTTTTCCTCGTTGCTGTCCTTGAAACCAGGAGATGTGGGCAGGATTTATATGCATCCAAATACTCAAGGGACAAGAAATAGATAATCTATTTATGACTATTTATGACTATGTCATAGAGCAACTAAAGGGATCTTTGTAAAATACAAATATGATTTAAGCATGCCTGTATTCATAAGGGCCCCCCAAATCAAATAGACCTTAACACAAACCTTTAAAGGAAGAATCTTTAGTGAAATGGTGGCTTGCAGGGGGTGTGGCAGGATGACTGGCAACAAAGGAAGTTATATGCATCCAAATACTCAAGGGACAAGAAATAGATAATCACTGGAAAGTGGAGACACAAAAAGGTTACCTGGCAGGACCGGTGATGAAGGAGGAAGTTACCCACTGTTAGAGATGTAGCTCTGAAACAGAGGGGTCCAGACATCCCATTGACTGAAGCCAGCCAGAAACCAGAAGGCAAGGTTCTAGAGACAGCTTCTAGGCACTTCTGGGTCTAGAATGTGACTTTCTCACCAGTTTTGTCTCTTACGTCATTCCCTCTTCTCATTTATCTCATTCACACTCAATTCACTTTGGTTCGCTTACATCCAGGCCTTTGTAAGAGCTTTTCTGCCTCCCAGAAATATTTTCTACAGTCACGCTTTAAGATCTAGACACATCTTACTTTTCAGAGCTGCAGGAATTCCTGATCACATGATCCTGGCTGGGTTTAGTGTTTTCTCCTGGGTTTCTATATCCTGCTTCCACAGTAAAGTAAACTTGTCTCTCACTCCAATGGCTCTGAAATCTTTGGGGGACACAGATTACACCTTACATGTTCACTGTTGTATTTCCAGAATGTACCCAAACTGATAAATACTGAAATAGTTATTGTGTGAATGAGAACTTTAATTGGATGTATGTGTCTTTTCCATTTTTCCTTCTATTCATGCATAAGCAGGGATTTTATTAGGCAACTTGATGAATTCTATCAATGCCTTTTTAGTGCACTGCTTAAGTTCTTGTATGAATGATGTTCAAACAAATGATTTTAGACCATATCCAGAGATTCCTAAAATACACACTTAATAACAATATATATGTGTAGTAACAGATTTACTCTCACTGACGAGTTCAACTTGCCCAGTGGGCTGTCAAGCTCTTCTTCTAGGGAAAAATAGTCTAGTACAAAGGCTATTGGGCAAGAAAAGCCATTGTTGCAGGTAAAATCCAGTAGTCTATTGGAAAATTCTCGCTTATTTCAGGTAGTTATTTTGTTCTTTGTAAGCCTTCAGCTGATTGGACAAGGCTAACTAATACTGTGGCAGACAATTGGCCTTACTCATTATAATGGTAATCTTATCCAAAAATGAAGAAGCAACTGACATCTACCACCATTGAGACAAGAAAAGTGATCATTTGTTTATTGGCACTGGATTTTATGATACTGTTGACTTCTGCCATGAAACAAAGGGAGGATGAAGGGTGAGAGCCTTTGGACTACACATAGACTAAGATAAAAATTAGCCTTTCTTTTTCAGTGTAATTGAACCACTAGATTTAACTAATTCTGAAGTGATCTTAGTGCTGGGATGTATGTGTCTGTGTCAGGGGAAGGAGGGGAAGATGCTCAAATTTTCCTTGTATTTCCTTTAAAAATTGTTATTGTTATTATAAAGATGATGTTATTATAAAGGTATTGATAGAACTCATCAAGCTTGCCCAACAAAATCCCTGCATATGTATGAATAGAAGGAAAAATGAAAAAGACTAGTACATGAAATCAAGGTTCGCATTCACATTTCAAAGGGGTTACAGTTACTTGAATCAGGTAAAGAGTACATTTCCTTTTGGTCAATGTCACCCTTTCTCTCTCTTTCTCTCTCTCCCCCCCGGTTTTTCTTTCCCATTCCCCATCCACAAGTTGCATAGTTATTTTCAACATAGTGTCCTATGAGTAACATTACTGCATTTATCCTTTATCTCTCCATTTCTGGGCCTCTCCTTACCCTCCCAAAGACATAAAAAATGAACAAACAGAACAAAAAAAATACAGCAAAAAAGAAGAAAAACCCCTCTTGTTTTTATTTCCTGAAGTTCATTTCAATAAATATTATTTTGTATGATCAGATGCACATAAGTGTTACGCCTTTCTGTTCCTCTCCTAGAGTGTTCTACTTTGATCTCACAGTGTGTGAATGTATAATTTATTATGTCCCAGTGTATTTTAGATCTAGCTTCCATTATGAGAGAAAACACGCTATTTGTCTCTCTGCACTTGGCTTACTTCATTTAATACGATTTTTTCCTAAGTCTACCCATTTCCCTGCAAATGACATACTATTCGTTCTAATGGCTGTGTAAAATTCCATTGTGTATTGGAAACACATTTTTTTGATCCACTTATCTAGGGTGGAGTGTTAAGGTCTCCCATTATTATTGTGTTGGAGTCTATCAGGTTTTGTAAGTCTAAGAGTGTTTATTTAATACATATAGGTGCTCCATTGTTAGGTACATAAATACTGACCACTGTGAGTTCCTCTTCGTGACTCATTCCCTTTACTATGTAATGATCTTTGTTGTCTCTTCACACTTATTTTAATGAGAAATCTATTTTATCAGATACCTATAGGTTTACTCTGGTCTTCTTGAAAAATGAATTTGCATAAAAAATCTTTTTTTCCATCCTTTCACTCAGAATATGTGTTTATCTTTGACTATGAGATTAGTTTCTTGGAGATAACAAGTGTTTGGATTTTGGTTTTTGATCTGCTGCTCTGCATATTTTGGTAGGGGAGTTGAGCCCATTGATTTTTAACATTCCTATGGAGAAATAAGCAATTTTCCCTGCCATTTTGTTTTCCTGTAGTGTACTTCTTTTTTCTTCTTCTATTTACTAACTTAGTCTTCTAGTGATTTTTATTCAGTGCTGTGTTTCCTTGACTTTGTTTCCTTCAGATTGTATGTTTCTCTTTTGTATCCTTCATAATGCTGATTTAGTGTTCATGAATTCCTTTAATTTTTGCTTGTCATGAAAGCTGTTACTTTCACCATCAATTGTGAATCTTAGCTTTACTGGGTACACTAGTTTGGGTTGGCAATTGTCATTCAGAGCTTGAATTATACTCCAGGTTCTCCTTGCATTTAGAGCTTGTGTGGATAAATCTGCAGTATTTCTAATCTTTCCATTGTAATAAAGTTCCCTGTTTGATTTTTCTGCATTTAAAATGAACTCCTTGTTTCTTAAGTCCGAAGTATTTACTACAATGTGTCTAGAGGTATTTCTTCTCCAATCATGTCTGCTGGAAGTTCTGTATGCCTCTGTCATGTGGGCAAGATTCTCTTTCTTTGAGATTAGGGAAGTTTCCTATTATTATTTTGTTAAATGGGTTTTCCATGTCTATGGTTTTGAGTACTTTTCCCTTGTCTACCCCAACTACACTTAGGTTTGATCTTTTGGTTGAATCTGCCAAATCTTGAATGTTCCTTGGCTATGTTCTGGTGTTTTTTCTATGATTTTTTTGTTTGAATTCCTCTGTTTTTTTTTCACTGTTCAAGGTTTATTTGGTGTTTTAGTCTGACATTTGGATAGGTGTTGCATTGTTCATATATAGCTTTTTACATTACATGCCAATGTACACTACTTATATATAGTACACAAAATATCTTTTAGAACAGTAATGCACGTGACATGCAAAAATGGATTTATACATCCCAGGAAGTGTGACTGGAAAAAGAAGTTGGAACTAGGCATTTTGGTGAAGTTACAGAGCACACAGTAACACATCTGGTTCAAAGGGCAGTTAGGGACTGTGCACCATTCACTGGCAGTGGTGTCTCAAGAGAGGGTGAGATTGTTTTACAGTAACCAGTTTACAGCTACAGAGGTACCATCCACCACAGCTGCAGGTTTTTCTGAACCAGTCCTATTTCTAACTTCAGGAAATGGATGCTTTTCCCAGGTCATTTTATAATACTACTGCTTTAGTCCCTTATAGCTATAAGGGACAACATGCATCACCTCTGACTTAAAATCCTCTTATAGCCTAGACAGTGAAGTGGTATATATAGAAGACTTTAAAATTGCAGCTCCTTTTGGATTCCCCAAAGTGTATCTGCACTCTTCTTCAAGCGGGCCTCTTCCTCAGGAGTCAGAGTGTCCTTCACCACATCTGAGATTCCATTCTGTCCCAGGATACAAGGAACGCTAAGAAAGACATCATCCTTTATTCCATAGAGGCCCTTGATCATGGTGGAAATTGGATGCACTCTCCAAAGATTCTTCATAATGCTCTCTGCTAAATCTGCCACAGACAGTCCAATGGCCCAGGATGTATAGCCTTTCAGTTTGATCACCTCATGGGCACTGTCAACAACTTGTTTATGAACCGTTTTCCACTGTTCCTTATCTGCATCAGTGCCTAAATCAGGATTCAGATTCTTGAAGGAGACACCAGCAACATTCACTCCACTCCACACTGGTGCACTTGAGTCTCCATGCTCCCCAAGAATCCATCCATGACAGCTTAGTGGGTGAACTCCCAGCCGTTCTCCCATCAGGTAACGGAACCGGGCTGAATCCAGATTACACCCACTTCCAGGAACGCGATTTTTGGGGAAGCCGCTTATCTTCCAAGCCACATAGGTCAGGATAGTCACTGGATTGGAAACAACAAGCAACTTGCAGTTGGGGCTGTCTTTCACAACATTAGGAATGATGAACTTAAAGATGTTCACATTTCGCTGGACCAAATTAAGACGGCTTTCTCCCTCTTGCTGACGGGCCCCAGCTGTGATAATAACCAGCTTGGAGTTTGCAGTCACACCATAGTCTTTGCCAGAGACAAGTTTTGGCGTTTTGAGGAAAAGGCTGCCATGCTGGAGATCCATCATCTCTCCTTTCAGTTTGTCTTCCATGACATCAACAAGAGCAAGTTCATCTGCCAAGTCCTTCATTAAAATACTGATGGCACAGGCCATGCCAACAGCACCAACACCAACAACTGTAATCTTGTTCTGGGGGACATGTTCTTCTTTAAGAAGATTCACAATCAGCTGATCCTTGAGACCTGACATTTTGGCCTGGGAATGACTGCTAAGACCCCGGGGTGCACGGCGGGCGGGAGTCAGAGCTTGCAGCGAGCAGATCCGAACTCAGCAACAGCGGCTCCCGCCTTGAATTCCTCTGTTTTATCCTCAACTCCTGATACCCAATTTCGACATCAGTTATTCTGTTGCCTATGCTTTCAATTGTGTTTTGCATTAGGGATATAGAGCATGTCATATCTCCTAGCTCTTTACTGATGTCAGTTCTCACGTTGTTAATTTAATCTTCGATTTCCTTCATTGAGATGTATAATGTTTCTATCTTCTTATCCATGCCTTGCATTTTCTTGGTTATTTCCTGGAATTTTTCTATTTGTTTTTGAATCTGTCTTTTTATTTCATTGGCCAATTCTTTCATCATTGTTTTAGTAGCTCTTTTGTTCTCCATCTCTTCTTTGCTCTCACTAGAATCCTTCCCTGGGTTGTTGTAGGTTTTTGAGAGTAGCAATTTGTCTTCATTGCTCATGAATTTTGTGATTTATCACAATGATTTATACAGTTGGCTCAGGGTTTGTAGATTTCCTTATGATTAAGTATTAGATCTGGGCAGAGGTGGCTCTCACCCATAATCCTAGCTACTCAGGAGGCTGAGATCTGAGGATCATGGTACAAAGCCAGCCCAGGCAGGAAAATCTATCAGACACTTTTTTCCAATTAACCACCAGAAAACTGAAAGTGGTGCTGTGGCTCAATGTGGTAGAGCACTAGCATTGAACAAAAGATCCTAAGGACAGCACCTAGGCTCCAAATTCAAGTCCTACAACTGACACTAGAAAGCAAGCAAGGAAGCAAGCAGGCAGGCAGGCAGGCAGGCATGCAGGCAGGCAGGCAGGCAGGCAGGCAAGCAAGCAAGAAAGCAAGCAAGCAAGCAAGAGAGAGAGAGGAAGGAAGGGATGAAGGAAGGAAGGAAAGAAGGAAGGAAGGAAGGAAGGAAGGGAAAGAAAGAGTTCTAAGAGCCAGTAATATGGTATTTCTTAACAATAAATATTTGAATAAGCTACCATCTACCCAATAAATTACAACACTGTTTCTTAGCTTCCTTAGCAAAGGAATTAAAGAATCTTCTGTGGATAGGTGAGTAAGAAATCTGGTTTGTTCACTGCTCCCAGTGACAGAGATGCAGTGGTTTCTACATCCAAACAACTGCAATATCCATCTGTCTGGAGCACAGAGAACACAGGGAACATGCACAGCCTGAGTTCAAGGCTCTACCTCAATGTAATGAGGAGTCTTGTGCAGTTTACTTTCAACATCCACGTGTTCTTTCTTGATATATCTCTAAAGGAAGTAGACCCCTGTCTCACAGTAGGCAGATTTGAGAAAGTTTCCTTGATATAACCTTATCTGACAATTAGGAACAATCATTTCCTGGGATGATTGGAAATAGTTTGTTTTTGTTGTTGTTTTCCCGCTAGTCATAGGGCTTGAGCTCAGGGCCTGGGCACTGCCTGAGCTTCTTTTGCTCAAGGTTAGCACTCTACCACTTGAGCCACAGCACCACTCCTGGCCTTTTCTGTTTATGTGGACTAAGGGCTTCATGCATGGTAGTCAAGCACTCTACCACTAAGCCTTACTTCCAGCCCTGACATGGAAATATTTTTAATATTTTTTTCTTTTTATAAGTCCTCAGAGAATAAGACTCAGTCTTGGGGCAGATATTTGTTGCCCTAGAGAAAAATAGAAACTGTCTAGGCAAGAAGGCATTGGGTTAGCTCTGAGCTTTGTGAAATCATTGAACTGTACCTAAAATGGAATCACTTTGGTGACTTGACAAATGAATTCAAAATGAATTCAAGACCCTAATTCCTCAGATAATATAAAACTTTCACTTTTACCAAAACGTAGCCTAGAGATTGTCTGACAGTCTCCATTTAGGCTGTCCCAGGTCAAGTTGGGTGTAAGATCAACCTGACACCATGTCAACTCTTGCAACTTCCTGCAGCTGTAACCACAAGTTGCCTAACAAGTCTAGGATCTATATCTGGAGTCTATCAAATTGGCTATGGACCCATGGCATTTAACACTTGCCTGCACCAATCAATGTAGGTCTTTTTCCTGTTAAACTCTTGCCCTCTGTTCTGTTCTTCAGAACTTCTTCATTTTTTTCACTTTTCTATGTTTCCTAGTCTTGATATTAACATCAGTTATGGTTCAAAAGCAAACTTAAAAAAAATCATAATGCCCAGGTGCTGGTGGTTCACAGCAATAATCCTAGCTACTTGGGAGGAAGATCACAATTAAAGCTAGCTCTGGCAGGAAAGTCTTTGATAATCTTGTCTCCAATTGGCCACCAAAAAGCCAGAAGTGGAACTGTGTTTCAAGTGGTAAAATGCTAGCCTTGAGCAAAAATAGCTCAGGAACATTGCCCAGGCCCAGGCCCCAGGACCAGCACACACACACATACACACATATACATACATACCAATTCATAGTGAAGCCAGGCTCCAATGGCTCACATCTGTAATCCTAGCTACTCAGAAGGCTGAGAGACATAGAGCATATTTGAAGATGCTATCTCCAATTAGCCAGCAAAATGTGGGACTGGAGATTTAGTTCAAATGGTAGAGCATCATCTATGATCTAGAAAACTGAGCATGAGCACAGGCCCTAAGTTCAAATCCTAGTTGTTAGTATTATGCTCACCTTTGGTCCTCATCTCTACCCAGACCTGAGCCCCTCCAATCTCTAGAATTCCCAGCCAGACAGCTCCCTGCCCCCTCTCCTGGCCAGATCCACCTGGGCTTCCATCTATCTCACTTCCTACCCTCAGACCCCTCCTGCTATCTGAATGGTGAAGGATGCTATATGCTTCCTCTTGGAGGAAATATGGCTCCTCTAATAAACCTTATAATAACCTTTCTCCTGTGCCTGCCTGCCTCTGCGTGGTCCCCTGGGAGGGATGTGTGGGATCCTTTATTTGTGGTAGCCCATACAGGGATAGGCTCCCCGGTGGATTTGCTCCCCCCTCCACTTCAGAAAGGGGTCTGACCAGCTGCCCCCGGACCTATTCTGAGACCCTAAACTCCTGTCACCAGAGGACTATAAAGGTAACATTCTCCTAATTGAGCACTCTACCTGCTGCCTGAAGGGCAGGAGGGGACTGCGGGTAGGAAGTGAGGTAGATGGGAGCCCAGGTGAATCTGGACAGGGAAGAGGAAGGGACCAGGTATATAGAGTAGAACTCTAGGGCTGGGAGGGGCTTAGGTCTGGGTGGAGCTGAAGACCAAAGGTGAGCTTAATACTAACATTTCCTGGGCTGGGAAGGTGGCTCAGTGGGAGAGCACTTGCTTTGCAGGCATGAGGCCCTGGGTTTGATTCCTCAGCACCACATAAGCAAAAAGAAAAAAGCCGGAAGTGGCACTGTGGCTCAAGTGGCACCCAGGCCCAGAGTTCAGGCCCCACGACTGGACCCAAAATAAATAAATACTAACATTCCCCATTCCGTGTTTTAATAAAAATAGGAGGTACCAGGCCAGGGAGGTATGGGTGGACGTTGTTTCTTCTGGACCTACTTCCTGCTGTAAAGGGGAAAAATAGTCAGGGGTCCCTGTGCCAAAAGGAGTCTTTGTTATAAAAGCCCTTTTTTATTTCCAATTAAAGCAATAAGGAGATCGGTGAGATAGAGGTTACCCATAACTTGTTAACACTTGACTAACAATTACTTGCCAGAGTTTTGTTTTGTTTTTTAATAAAACCAAGTAGATGTTTTTAACCTGCAACTGATTGGCTATCTAAGTACTGCCTCTGGACAGCCTGTTTAAAGTGGCTTATATACAAACATTTAACTTGTAACAAATGTACAGGCCTTTTCTTGGGCTACAGCAGCATAGCCTGTTTATCACTGGTTTATAAAAGCATTTTCTGGCTGGTGGAGGAACCTGATTTCAAGTGGCCCCAACAATGCATACGTGTGTAGGCCTTTAGACAGATCTCAATAGAGAATAATCTCAGCTCTACAAGATTTTTTTTTAACAGATTAATTTATGTGGTTGGTGCCAGCTCAAAAGTTACTGCCAATTAGGACTTTGAGCAGATACAGGGGCTGGGATTTAAATTAGTTTTTACATTTTATAACTTTAGCTTTTACTGCCCACTATCATAGATGACTGGCAAGTTTTGCCCAGTTAGACCAACATGGGCCTTAGGCATATTTACAAACTATCTTTCCATGACCTCCTGGCTCTGATCAATTTTTGGGGGGTCAAGCTCAAGTAACTCATGATCTGACACCATTTTTGTCATCCAAGCAATAGCTTTTAATTGCCTGTGGATGTTTTAACATTGCTGGGGTCCCTGGAGTGCCTTTTTTTATGTTGGGATAAATGCACCTTTGGCATTTCCCTTGGTCAGTCGCTGGCCTTGAGCTCAGGGTTTGAGTTCTGTCCCTCAGCTCTCCAGCTCAGAGGAAGCACTCTGCCACTTTGAGCTCCAAAGCAACTCAGCTTTTGAGCACTCTGCAGGCAGATTAGAGATGCCAATCTATCTCACAGGGACCTTTCTCTGCCCGGGCTTGCTTTGAACTGCAGGTCTCAGATCAGCAAGTTTTTACAAACGGTCACTTTTACTCCAATGAAAAGCAACAAAGATGGTCCAAAGATGGTCCTTGGAAGTAGTTTTATAAGCATGGTTTTACCTGGAACATACTAAGTTACATTTGACAAACTTGTCCTGTCTTTTACTGTGGACCTGCTGGAAACTGTTACAAAAAACCTATAAGGGCAAACTGGAATAATCCTACTTTATCTTTTCTACTTTGAAATAGACCTTTAGGACAGCCACTCCCCACAACTTCGCAAGTTTTCACAAAGGGGACGTCATTTTAATTCATTTTTGTAAAGTTACTTTAATTTGCATTTAAATACTTCATTCAAACACAGGGCTATCCCCTTTACCTCTTGGCAGAAGGTTTAAACTGGCCCCTTTTTTCTGCAGTCTAAGTTACCTTTAGGAAATTAGCAGTTTTTCTTAATGTTCTAGCACTATCACATTTCTTTTCCTTTAGAAGCACACCCAGTGGTAAAATAGCATAGAAGTCAACATATTCTTTGCTCATATACCCCTT